AGAAATTAAACTTAACTGGCTTATATTTGTCATTATGAGCTAAAATACTTGAGAATATCGATATCATCTCCTCAACACTNAAAAAGAAATTAAACTTAATTGGCTTATATTTGTCATTATGAGCTAAAATACTTGAGAATATCGATACCATCTCCTCAACACTAACCTTCCTAGTTGAATTTAGCCCTCCCACATCACAAACCATTTTACACAACACAACAAATGTGCACCTCTCTATCATCAATTGGCTTATATAGGTTCTCTTAATACTCTCGTTGATGAGACAGTGTGAGTGTTCAATTTGTAACCGATTCTTATGGAGGGGTCTTGGGATCTCAAATGTCGTAGTTTTATTTTTCATATTCCATATTATCACCATTATGGACACCATAAGATAAAAAACGCTTATCATCTCCCGAATATTCTTATTCATAATGGTAAGTGATGGTGTAGATCAACGTGGTGCAACTTTGTTATATTGAACAGATGAAATAATTAGTGGCCGTCTATTAGGATCTGAGCTGCAAGGCTCAATTCAACAACGTATGGTTTTTTAAGGGAAAAGTGGGGAATTGACACAATGAAAATATAGTGGTTCACTAGTCCGGGAGCTCGGCTAATCCACTTTTCAATGGATGCTCTTGCTCTTTTTTTTTTCTATTGATCTTTAGAAAAGTTTACAAGGGCGATTGTAGGTTACTTGGGCTCGCCCTATACTTGGGGGAATTACATAATATTTATAGGGTTGTCCCTAGTTCTGCGGGATCTGTACCGAGATCCTTGTCATTTATCTGAGGAACTCTCGTTGATCTTAGGACAGGATCTTGGCTAGTTAAGGATTTTGCGCCTTGAACATGGCTCTTTGCCACCTGTAGGATTTTTGTTGTCATCCAGTTGTACCCTTATCATTTTCACAGTTGGCACGTCTAGGGGGAGCTCTAGCTCTGATCCTCTGAGCTCTGCGTGTCTTTCCTGACCTCTTGGTCTGACCTGATTGACTAACCTCTGCGCCTGAGCTCATCAGTAAGTAAACTGATTACCATCTTACTTTTGAATCCTATCCAAACTTATTTCATTTTGAGTATCATCAGTAAGTAAACCACATAATTCATTGTTAGGCTATCCATGTTTACCTAATTCATCAAAAATAAAATAATTCAATAAGTTAGGACCTGTTTGGTAACTGGGTATTTTTGTTTTCATTTTTTGGAAAAAAAATAAAATAAAAAAATGTTTGGTGAATGTTTTTGTTTTTTTTCTTTACTACTCCATTTTGAAAATAAGGACAAAATATGAAAACATCCAAAATAATAATTTTTAGAACATCCAAAATGAAAACACACGGGAGGCGCTAGAAGTCCTTCAATGAGGTCCAACCTTTGAATCCTGTTAGCAGCAAATAAATGATTTTTTTTACTTGAGTATAAAACTTACTCTAAAATAAACTTAAGTCCGCTTTTACCTAGTGCCCCAATTTACGAAACAGACTTAAGTCCCTGGTCTTAGGATAGTTATTAAAAATAAATCAACACATGTCTAATAAATTAGGAACATTGACATGGTTTAGACAAATTACTCTAAAATATTCTTAATTAAATTCTAAATCTAAGAAATAATAAAATAAAATAAAAATATAAAATTGCACAACTTGTTCTACACCAAAAACTACTCAAGATTTTGCCACCAGAGCTTTCTACCACAACCCATATTGACTTTGTTTGTAGTATAGTCGTACAAAAACCAATTATGATAGATTCATACCCAAAGAATAAACATTTTTTTATCACGAAATATGATTTCATTGAAAAACCAGAGAGTCAAAGTAANAGTTAGTATAGTCGTACAAAAACCAATTGTGATAGATTCATATCCAAAGAATAAACATTTTTTTATCACGAAATATGATTTCATTGAAAAACCAGAGAGTNTTGTAGTATAGTCGTACAAAAACCAATTATGATAGATTCATACCCAAAGAATAAACATTTTTTTATCACGAAATATGATTTCATTGAAAAACCAGAGAGTCAAAGTAAAACATCAAGAAAGAAACAAAAAAAATAGAAAAACAGAACATCAAGAAAGTGGGTCAGAGCAGATCATCCCACACCTTGGCGACATGCCTATTTGATAAGCTGCATAAGTTGTGGTGTAAGATTAGATAACCACTGGGGGGAGGCTACCTCTCTGCATTTGTTGAGCGACAAAGTGCGCAATCTAATTTCCTGATCTACCTATGTGTTTAAAAGCCAAGGAAGGGACCGCATGTNTTGCATAAGTTGTGGTGTAAGATTAGATAACCACTGGGGGGAGGCTACCTCTCTGCATTTGTTGAGCGACAAAGTGTGCAATCTAATTTCCTGATCTACCTATGTGTTTAAAAGCCAAGGAAGGGACCGCATGTACATATTCCCAAATATCTTTTCGAATGGGTTCAATCTCCCTGAGAGATGATTCCTGGCTTTTGATGAGGGAATCAAGGAGAAGCTTTGAGTGNGTACATATTCCCAAATATCTTTTCGAATGGGTTCAATCTCCCTGAGAGATGATTCCTGGCTTTTGATGAGGGAATCAAGGAGAAGCTTTGAGTGGGATTCCACTCATACCTCTCTAAAGCCTTCTTCCAGAGCCACTTTACAAGCTTCCCTTACTACCCAAGCCTCATAGACCAAAGAAGAAGCAGCAGCCATCACTCCAGCTCGTCCTGCTATAAGACTCCCCTCGTGGTCACGAGCAACCACAGCAAAAGAGCCTCGTTGAGTCTTTGCTGAAAAAGCACCATCGCATGTCAAAGAAATCATACCCAAAGGAGGAGCTTCCCAACGAGGCTGCGGAGTTCTTCCTGGCTGATCTCTCCTTTGTTTTCCTTCCATAATCTGCCTCTCATGAAGAGACAAAAGGCTTGATTAATTACCTTTTTGGTATGGGTTGACGATGATTGGAAATCCACTCGTTATGTGCCTTCGAAATGAACCAAAACAGATAGACCATAAGTGGTTGTCCTCCATTCGGATCGTCAATTAAATTATTTAAAGCCTGAAAAGACTCNTAGATTTTAAATTTGTCTTTTTTCTCATGGATATGCAGTGGACGGGGTTATCCAATCCAATACATCCTAATATCTAACCCAAACACAACTCAGCTTAATGGTAAGATGCCAAACTTCTAATCAAGGTAATGTGGCTTTGAGTCTTATTGGGTGTTTATTTTTTTAGGAGTTTCAGCTTGACTTCGAGCTTGCAATACGAGAACTCAAGCCGAACTAGAGCATAGAATAAATAAGTCGAGTTGATCTTGAACATGAATACAAGGTCGACAAACGAGCTCGAGCTAAGCATGAACCAGTGACATTCGAACCCGAGCTAAGATTGGCTCTATTAAAACTCCTAATCCCCTCTTGTTTTGATGATATTTCTTTTGATCTACATCGATAAGATCACTAATTAACTTATTCAAATATAGTGTAAAAACATTTGGATCAAAGTTTAAAGAGTGAATTTGAATTACTCGAAATTTGATCCAAATTCAATTGTTGAATTTGTTCACAAAGCACACCGATCCATTTTCTTAAGCATAATGGTTGCCCCCACACGTGGGTAAATTCTAATGCTCTGTTTTGTAGGAGGGATGAAAAGTATGAGAGATAGAAAATATGAATTATACACTTTCTATCCTCTAAGAAAGAAAAGTATGAATGATACATTTTTTTTCCTTTATGTTTGATAGGATGGATGAAAAATAGAAATGATTATTTTTTTTATATTTGATATTAATGAGAAAATATAAATACATAATATATAATTGATAAATATGATATATGTATATGTCAAATGATATATATATATATATATAACATATATAATTAATTTTTTATCCAGTTTCTTCCCANATATATATATATATATATATATATATATAACATATATAATTAATTTTTTATCCAATTTCTTCCCAATTTTGGAAGGATTGATTTTGATTAGTCGAAAGAAAAACTAACTTATCCACTTTTTCATCCTTCTTATTTTTTTTCCTTACCAAACATGATGTTTTATTTATTTTTCCATCCTTCCATTTTGTCAATCTTACCAAACATAGCTCTCTCGNTTACCAAACATGAGGTTTTATTTATCTTTCCAACTTTTCATCCTTCCATTTTGTCAATCTTACCAAACATAGCTCTCTCGGGACATAATGAAACTAATTCTTGCCTATAGCATGAAATGTCGAGTCCTCAACCAATTTCTTGCTAAATAGTATCTCCGATCTTTGGCCATTTTTTTCAAATACCAGGGGCAGTTCAAGCCAATTTAAGGTCTAAAACGAAAACATTAAATGGGGGCTTTTTTTATTTTTAGTATTGTTTTTTTAAAAAATAATTTATTTTTAATTTTTTATGTGAGAGAGAGACAAAAAAAATTATGTGTTAATATTGTCAATAAAGAAATTTTAATTTTTGTTTTTGTTTTTGTTTTTATCATAGACAGGGAAAAAGCGTGTTTAATTTTAACTTTTATTTTTTTTTTTTTTTTTACCTGGGAGAGAGAGAGAGAGAGAGAGAGAGAGAGAGAGAGAGAGAGGGACTGAGTGGGAGTAAATATGAGTTGATTTTTGAGTATTTTTTTAATTTTTTTAATTTTTAATTTTTTTAATGATATAAATTGAATTATAGGCTTAAATTATTGCAATAAAAATTTTGATTGAATTTAATTTTTTAGGATCTTTTTTGTAGGGCTTAAAATTTATTGGATTTAATTTTTTTGTTTATTGACTAGTGATGTACCTAAAATTATGAGACGTTCTAAAAATTTAGAGACTAAAGTGTATGTGTTTTTTTTATACTGTTGAGCCAGCGCTGTCAGATACTTCTCGGGTCTTTTTCGCCAGTTGAAATCTTCTTACCTGTGAAGACTTTAATGTGATAGGACAACGAAACACTACCACGGTACCACCGTTGTTGCTATATATATGTGTCGGGTCCTAAACATATTTCTCACTAACCACATCTATCTCTCTCTCTCTCTCAAAAGCAAAAGAAAAGAGGAAAAGGAAAAAACATGCCCGCATTGCCAAACCCTACAAAAATGACTGGTAGGAAGATTTTCATAGTTTGGGAAGTTCTCTTGATCACTATGCTTATGCTGTCTTCTTCAGTGACTGCAAGGAAACTTGCAGAAACATCCAACCCTAGCACAACTAGTAAGTTATATTCTATCTACTTCATAGTTTTCCACATTTCTTTGTATCAACTTTAAGCCATAGGCAAGGCCGGCTTAATCGCTAAACCACTTAGTCGTCGTTTGGATTTCAACATGATGGAGTATTGGATCAATGTTACCAGAATTGCGGTACGATAAAATAAACTTAGTTGGTACGGTGTATTAGGCTGTAATTCGTTTTGAAATTTTTATGTAAATTATTTTTACTACTATACAATATAATATATCATAGAACATCCATAAACACTGAGTCAGTAACCATTTATTTTACATTTGTGCTTGAATTTCTATTATTTAAAATATTATATACTTATAAATCTATGTATGCGTGGTCAATTAATATGTATTTTGTCATACATGTTCTAAAATGATCAATTTAGAGTTAGTATTACAAATTAAAATTGTATATTTTGATGATCTAGATCGCAAATCCACTTTATTTGAGATCAATATATTAAAATCGTAAATCGTAAGTAATTTAGTGAATTCTAATAACTATTGATTGAATTGAGTTTACTTTTCCCATCCAAACCACACCAATGGGCTTGTGGAGGTGTGTGGCTCTTCTGAGGAGGTGGGTTGACTCAGCATAATTTATTTTTTGTTGTGTAATTGATTTTATTGATTTACGCTTTATCTATTTGCCACTTTGAGCAACTCTAGTGTCTATAAAAATACATTTTGTTACCTATTCCTATTAATGCATATTAAGTCCTCATTTTTGGGTTTCTTGAAACCCTCCAGAAGAAGGGCTTATCATCACTATTTGTTTCCAATTACTACGGGGCCTATTTGGATCAACTAAACAAAATTGTGTAGGGGTGGATTGGACTATTTTCAAGAAATTCCACCAATGAAACATACCAAAAGCCCTTTAGGCAACTACTTATACCTTTAATAAGTTGTCTTGATAAGTTTCATCTTAATGGGTTATGTAGACGTATGTAATAGTCTAACATTATGCAAAGGCCTACAACTAATTTTAAGATTATTGTTTATTGAGCTTAAATTGCCAACTCGAATTAGGCCCGAATTGGGTAATCCGATTTCAACCCGAGCTTGTCCGAAATGAACTCGAACAATACTCGGATTGATTATCTCAGATTGAGATCAGGTTAGAGTTAAAGATTGTGTACTCAAAATTAGACTAGAGTTGATCTCTCAATCTGCCCAAGTTACACCCCTACTGCGTAAGACCCTCATTTCAAAGGGACCCCAATAGATCATATTATATTCATGGTAATAAACTTACATTTACAGAAAATTTTTCAAGATGAGATATTTTACCAACGAATATTTTAGGAAATGTTTTCTAGTTGAATCTATTTTATGTTGTAGTGAAGATATTTGAAAGATTTAGGATTTGATTTTAGAGAATGAGAATTGAATCCTTGGCATTTCGTATTTCTTTTTCCAGGTAAAGACGTTCCAGGTGAGAAGGTTTTCGTCCGCTTCTTGGGAGACTACGGGGGTAACCCGACAGATCCAACTATTCCAACATATCCAAATCCACCGAATCATCCATGATGTACCTCCCGTTATAATGGTGGCAAGCGAGTGTGGTCGTATCATATCGTATTGGCATAATGTTAAGATTGGGCTCTTGTCAAAATCGAGTTCATGTTAAATCAAGTTATTTGTTTTTAATATCAGACTTGATCGGTTTGATTATTCATATTTGTGGATCTTGTCGTTTTCATATTCAGGCCATGTTAGGTTTCATGTCAAAATTGTCAGAGGGCAATTTTCTTAATTTTTTTTATTTTTATTTTTGTTTTGTGTGTGTTTAAACTTGGTCATGAGTCACCTTCAATAGAATATGTTCTAGAATAAAGCTACATGTGCCAAATTTTAATAAATTGTATTTTGATCAAATTTTTAATTTTGTCGATGATTAATATTTTCTTCTGAGTTCTTTTTGCCTTCCTTTTCTTGGTATGATTTGTTGGAATTTCATTTTTTTTTTTAACGGTGTATGATTTGTAGGATGATGAAGGGCATTTATGCCATTGAGACTTTTACAGGATAAGGGCGACGAAATTCAAACCCGTGACCTAAGCCATTAAGTCACCGTTGATCCTCACGACCATTTCATTGTTGTGATTAAAGTTATCTATATTAAAATGAAAATAGAAAATAGTAGAATTTCATCAAATCACTAAGGGTGAACTTCATTGGACCCCACTTGTGGATTTAAATGAATTTATCAACATCTATCTATCTAAGAGCATCTCCAATAGTGATCTCTAAAATTGAGAACATCTTAGACAAAAAGATAAAATAGATAGTAAAATTTTGTATACCACCCTAATAGGACTCTTTATTCTTTTCAAATTATTATTTTATAATTTATCCTTTTTAGGAATAAATTTAACTTACCTCCTTTTTGATATTAAGATGTGTTTTATCCTGAATGAAAAGACAAATATACTATTTTCTATTTCAAAAAAATAGAGTAAAGAGTGGGTTTAACTCTCTAAATGTGGATAATCAAATTGGACTTTTTATTTTAAAGAGCCTAAATAAAAAGTCTATTGAAGATAAAATTTTAATATTTAACTATTTAAAATAGAGAATTGAATGACAGTAAAAAGTTTATTGGAGATGCTCTAATATTACAGTCAGGAAAATGAATTCTCAATTTATAAAAGTTCAACAACAATTAAAATTGGTATGAAATTCATTTCAAAAATGTCATCTTCTATGCACAGTTTTGCGAATCCTGATTGACCGGTGCATGTGTTAAGTAGTTGGTGCGTGCGACACTCTTCAATTGGAATTATATCCTGAAAGGGGTTAGGACTAGCTTTGAGGAAGGAAATTCTCTGAGAGTTAACACATTTTACCTCCTCTTATTTCTCTTTGTTCATTTTGATTTTAAAATATAAATATTAGATCAAATAAATTTACTATTAAATCAAAATAAATCTAATTATCTTCCAAAAAGGGGTTAGGGCTAGTACGGTCCATGTTTAATTTTTAGTATTGCAAAGTATCTTCAAATACGGGATTATTGCTAGTCTAATAATAAATCCAATAGATACAATGATTGAACTTGGCCAAATTCATACATTCTAGAAAAGGAAAAAAGAATTGGCCAAATTCATAAAACTTAAAGTGACAATCATGTAATTGTACCACGAGCATACCATCTCATAAAATAAATAAGATTACAATCTCGAAAAGGTTGAATACGAGTCCTATCACCGTTCAACACTTTATCTCGATTGAGATTTTGGTTTGGACCCAACATCAACTGAGCAACTGTAACCAGCAACTTTTGCGAGGACTATTGGAACTAGTGAAACTGTTGTTGTAGTTGTCGTAGAAAATCTAAGAATTTAACACTTGGGAGAGCCTCTTCTATATGATCACAGTCATTAGGAAAATTGTTATCACTTCGTTGATTGGCCATCACACCACCTTAGTCAAGGCACTGATACCAATTAATGCAGTGAAACAAGAAACACAAAGAAAACACCATTTCTAAGTATATAAAATAAAGGTATTTTGAATGAAATCCCAATAACCCGCGTATAGTGTTGGATCAAAGCAATTAGTTTTATCCAATCCTTGATTTGGCTATTAAATTATGATATTGTGGGGCCCATGGACAACCCAACTTTTTTTTTTTGTCAAATCTTATAGCTTTGACATTTATTCACCATCTTACTTTTGAATCCTATCCAAACTTATCTCACATTTGGCTAGCAAATTTTGGGTTACCACTTTAATATTCACTTCAAAAATTTAAGTTAACTATTGTAAAAAATCAAGTTTTTTGCATTCCGTTGTAAACAAATTTTAAAAAGACAACCATAAATATATCCAATTCCACTCAAAATATTATACTGAAATTAGTTAACAAAAAAAATATGGCAAATGAATGCAAAAGCCGAAATTACATAAACATTAACATTAAACAAACCTTCCCTTATACAAAAATACACAAAATAATGGCATCTTGATTCATATTCCATGCATATGGTCATATTAATTGTTGCCTTGAACTATACATACAAAATAAAGGCATCATAATTCGTAATGAAGTTGAAGCTATATGCACACATGTAATTGTCGTACACCACCATAAGCTTAGTGACCTAATTACCAAAATGGCTCGTGACAATTAAGACGTTTAATACAATATTAATACATACAAATATTCATAATAAGTGACAACCATATTCATAACGATAGTGGACAAAGTCAATAATCAATGACTATAACATCCATGATCTTCTTACATGTGTAAGTTACAAGCAACCGTTTAATTTAGTGTATAACAAACATGCATTCAGAAATATAATTGTCCTAAGAAAGTTATGTAATGAACATCACTTACTTCCAAGAAATCCTTTGTACCATCTATAGCCCCTGCACAACGCATTTCTTTAGGGGGTCCCATTCAAATAGGCCGCAATCAAGCATCTCAGAAATAGTATATTATTGTCTCTCCCAGAAGAAAATGATCCTTAAAAGCTCAGTAAATGACAACCTAAACCCTAACATCCTGTGTTTCAATACCATACCATCGACAGTTTTAACATCGTACCCGAAAAGAGGTAACTTTTGTCTATTTTTGTCAAAAACTAGTTGCCAAAAGGAGTCATGTAATGCACCCACACAATTCTACAATGAAAAAAGTTAAAAAAATTTACACCTTCAGTAGGGCAACATAACTTAAGAAACAAAATGGAAAAAAATAAAAATATACAATGTTGAACTAAGAGTCACATTGGGCTTACCTTAAACCACTTTCACTTACCGTCAGTACTATTTTCAAGAACTAGTTCTTAGGACTTTAACAATAACCTACACAGCCTCAACACTACAATAAGCACATTGTTGAAATGTCGGCTAACCATTTCACATGCTCGAAAGAAATTAAACTTAACTGGCTTATATTTGTCATTATGAGCTAAAATACTTGAGAATATCGATATCATCTCCTCAACACTAACCTTCCTAGTTGAATTTAGCCCTCCCACATCACAAACCATTTTACACAACATAACAAATGTGCACCTCTCCATCATCAATTGGCTTATATAGGTTCTCTTAATACTCTCGTTGATGAGACAGTGTAAGTGTTCAATTTGTAACCGATTCTTATGGAGGGGTCTTGGGATCTCAAATCTCGTAGTTTTATTTTTCATATTCCATATTATCACCATTATGGACACCATAAGATAAAAAACGCTTACCATCTCCCGAATATTCTTATTCATAATGGTAAGTGATGGTGTAGATCAACGTGATGCAACTTTGTTATATTGAACAGATGAAATAATTAGTGGTCNATCTCCCGAATATTCTTATTCATAATGGTAAGTGATGGTGTAGATCAACGTGATGCAACTTTGTTATATTGAACAGATGAAATAATTAGTGGTCGTCTATTAGGATCTGAGCTGCAAGGCTCAATTCAACAACGTATGGTTTTTTAAGGGAAAAGTGGGGAATTGACACAATGAAAATATAGTGGTTCACCAGTCCGGGAGCTCGGCTAATCCACTTTTCAATGGATGCTCTTGCTCTTTTTTTTTTCTATTGATCTTTAGAAAAGTTTACAAGGGCGATTGTAGGTTACTTGGGCTCACCCTATACTTGGGGGAATTACATAATATTTATAGGGTTGTCCCTAGTTCTGCGGGATCTGTACCGAGATCCTTGTCATTTATCCGAGGAACTCTCCTTGATCTTAGGACAAGATCTTGGCTGATTAAGGATTTTGCGCCTTGAACATGGCTCTTTGCCACCTGTAGGATTTTTGTTGTCATCCAGTTGTACCCTTATCATTTTCACAGTTGGCACGTCTAGGGGGAGCTCTAGCTCTGATCCTCTGAGCTCTGCGTGTCTTTCCTGACCTCTTGGTCTGACCTGATTGACTAACCTCTGCGCCTGAGCTCATCAGTAAGTAAACTGATTACCATCTTACTTTTGAATCCTATCCAAACTTATTTCATTTTGAGTATCATCGGTAAGTAAACCACATAATTCATTGTTAGGCTATCCATGTTTACCTAATTCATCAAAAATAAAATAATTCAATAAGTTAGGACCTGTTTGGTAACTGGGTATTTTTGTTTTCATTTTTTGGAAAAAAAATAAAATAAAAAAATGTTTGGTGAATGTTTTTGTTTTTTTTCTTTACTACTCCATTTTAAAAATAAGGACAAAATATGGAAACATCCAAAATAATAATTTTTAGAACATCCAAAATGAAAACACACGGGAGGCGCTAGAAGTCCTTCAATGAGGTCCAACCTTTGAATCCTGTTAGCAGCAAATAAATGATTTTTTTTACTTGAGTATAAAACTTACTCTAAAATAAACTTAAGTCCGCTTTTACCTAGTGCCCCAATTTACGAAACAGACTTAAGTCACTGGTCTTAGGATAGTTATTAAAAATAAATCAACACATGTCTAATAAATTAGGAACATTGACATGGTTTAGACAAATTACTCTAAAATATTCTTAATTAAATTCTAAATCTAAGAAATAATAAAATAAAATAAAAATATAAAATTGCACAACTTGTTCTACACCAAAAACTACTCAAGATTTTGCCACCAGAGCTTTCTACCACAACCCATATTGACTTTGTAGTTAGTATAGTCGTACAAAAACCAATTGTGATAGATTCATATCCAAAGAATAAACATTTTTTTATCACGAAATATGATTTCATTGAAAAACCAGAGAGTCAAAGTAAAACATCAAGAAAGAAACAAAAAAAATAGAAAAACAGAACATCAAGAAAGTGGGTCAGAGCAGATCATCCCACACCTTGGCGACATGCCTATTTGATAAGCTGCATAAGTTGTGGTGTAAGATTAGATAACCACTGGGGGGAGGCTACCTCTCTGCATTTGTTGAGCGACAAAGTGCGCAATCTAATTTCCTGATCTACCTAT